AACAGACCAATGGTTAAGGGTACTCCACTGTCTTACAAAAACAGACCAATGGTTAAGGGTACTCCACTGTCTTACAAAAACAGACCAATGGTTAAGGGTACTCCACTGTCTTACAAAAACAGACCAATGGTTAAGGGTACTCCACTGTCTTACAAAAACAGACCAATGGTTAAGGGTACTCCACTGTCTTACAAAAACAGACCAATGGTTAAGGGTACTCCACTGTCTTACAAAAACAGACCAATGGTTAAGGGTACTCCACTGTCTTACAAAAACAGACCAATGGTTAAGGGTACTCCACTGTCTTACAAAAACAGACCAATGGTTAAGGGTACTCCACTGTCTTACAAAAACAGACCAATGGTTAAGGGTACTCCACTGTCTTACAAAAACAGACCAATGGTTAAGGGTACTCCACTGTCTTACAAAAACAGACCAATGGTTAAGGGTACTCCACTGTCTTACAAAAACAGACCAATGGTTAAGGGTACTCCACTGTCTTACAAAAACAGACCAATGGTTAAAGGTACTCCACTGTCTTACAAAATCAGACCAATGGTTAAGAGTGCTCCACTGTCTTACAAAAACAGACCAATGGTTAAGAGTACTCCACTGTCTTACAAAAACAGACCAATGGTTAAGAGTGCTCCACTGTTGTGAACAAACTGACCAATGGTTAAGGGTGCTCCACTGTCTTACAAAAACAGACCAATGGTTAAGGGTACTCCACTGTTGTCAACAAACTGACTAATGGTTAAGAGTTCTCCACTGTTGTCAACAAACAGACCAATGGTTAAGAGTGCTCCACTGTTGTCAACAAACTGACCAATGGTTAAGAGTTCTCCACTGTTGTCAACAAACTGACCAATGGTTAAGAGTACTTCACTGTTGTCAACAAACAGACCAATGGTGAAGAGTGCTCCACTGTTGTCAACAAACAGACCAATGGTTAAGAGTGCTCCACTGTTGTCAACAAACTGACCAACATTTCAGAGTACTGCAAATCAATGCTGTGAGACCACCCTTTGCTGTAACTGTATATGTATTCCACTCTCCTACTCCAACTGATGTTTGTGAAATAGTCTAATTGAACTCTTAGCCTATTTACACAATCCTGTCCTCACATGCATCTAGTCGCTCATTTTTGGCAAATCTCGGTGATATGTGTTAAGTGTGACCACTCTCAAATGAAATTGTAAATGGAGATTACAAATCGTACCAAAGTTTTTTTTGCGTTTTCTGTGTGACCTACAAAAGTGACTCCTGAAACCTTGTCGCTGGGTAAACCACTGTTATATGTAATTGTTCATGTCTATCTACAACTATATACAAATACATTTTGTTCAGAGAGGACAAAAACGGATGAGTGAGGATATAAGCAGTGTCTGTTTACATCATTTCCAGGTATCGGAGGTGGAATACAGTGGTAAGAAGGTGTCTGTCCGGTCGAAGGCAGGGAAAATCTGGGAGGCAGACAAGGTAACGTAATGTATTTACTGATATCAGCTCATTTAGAAATTATTCTGTAATGTGGTCCAATGTTGTTGTGTCGCCTGCAATGCAAGGAGACATTTAGGTATTACTTTGTCTGCGTTGTCCAAAACAAGGTTTCCGTGCGATAACTTAAGTTCCCTTGGATTGATTGAACTCAAACTTAGTACACAAATTGCATACCAATATAGCTCGAACAAGATTGCATTTTTGAAGTTAAGGTGCATTTTTAGGTCACCTGAGCTTTAGCTCAAGTGACCTATTGCTATCCGTTTTCGTCCGTCGTCGTCCGTCGTCCGTCGTCCGTCGTCCGTCGTCCGTTAACATTTTACATTTCAAACTTAAAGTCAAGTTCTGCTGGGCCGATTGAACTGAAAGTTGGTAGGAATGATCGCCTCATGGTCCTGACAAAGTGTTGTTATTTTTCGGGTCGATCAGAAATCCAATATGGCCGCCACGGCCGCCATTTTGAAAACCTATTTCAAACTTAAAGTCAAGTTCTGCTGGACCGATTGAACTGAAAGTTGGTAGGAATGATCGCCTCATGGTCCTGACAAAGTGTTGTTATTTTTCGGGTCGATCAGAAATCCAATATGGCCGCCACGGCCGCCATTTTGAAAACCTATTTCAAACTTAAAGTCAAGTTCTGCTGGACCGATTGAACTGAAAGTTGGTAGGAATGATCGCCTCATGGTCCTGACAAAGTGTTGTTATTTTTCGGGTCAATCAGAAATACAATTTGGCTGCCATGGCTGCTATTTTGCTACTAAGTTCTAATAGGCCGATCTCACTTAAAATTGGTCTAGGAATGATCAGCTCATGGTCCTGACAAAGTTAAGTTAACATTATACTATTTTTTACTCAAATTGGTACATATTTCAACAACAAAAATAAATACTGTAGACTCAGGTGACCGTTTAGGCCCATGGACCTCTTGTTGGTGGAGTTATGCCCCTTTTATTGCCAAATAAAGGCATTGTGTAGTAAAAGCAAGAACTTTTTTATTTTTTATTCAGTTCCTTTCAAATTTTGTACAGTAATGCTAGAAGCAATAATGTTAAACATATTAAGGGGTTTTCTGTCAATGTTCAACTTTTCTTACTATGAGCGCTGAAGAGGCAACACATCCACTCCCGTGGAATTCTTGTTTTCTATTTCTGACTATTTTCTTCAGCTTGGTTAAGTATAGGGGGTGGAAAGGTTTAGTTATCACAGTCAGTTAATGATTTTTGTCTGATGAAAATACGATATACTAGTCATCAAAATGTCGCACATAAACATTGAACTGGTCGTGCTACAGGAACCTTTCTACACCTCGTCTTCTGTTTGGTATCATTTCACCGTACCAAAATGTGATAATTTTCGGTAGTTATGGTATGTACCATTTATAGATGTTTGACAGACGTGATACATATACAGTTGTTATATTTACAAGATAACAAGTCAGTCCTGTGACGTCATGTTTCAGTTTGAATTACAAAGTGATACCGTAAAAACCCATGTAATTTGCGCACTTTTTTTCCAGAAATTTAATACCCAAAGTGGGGGGTGCGTAAAATACACAGGTATAGAAAATTTCAAGTTTTTTTCAGGAAAAGATCGACGATTCTGGGAGATCGCCATCTTGGATTATTTCCCTTGGTACACGGAACTCTAATTAAGACAAATGACGGGTCAATAAATTTATTTATGTCAAACATTAATAAAAGATAATAATGTGTTGTTATGTGAATTTACGTGAAAAATATTATTAAATAGGTAACCGTTAACAAAAAAAGTGTAGCCAAATTCCTATGCCAGAGAATCGCCGATCAACTTACGACATTACGTTTCGACATCTCAGTGTGTTTCCCCATACTATTACGAAAATGTAGTTGTTCAATTTAAGCTCCGTTCCATGTAAGTTCTGTAAGTTTTTTCAAATCGCCTATGCGTAAACGTATAGCATGTTTTTTTTCCCGGCTCACTTTCATGTTGATCTCGCATCTAACATTACGTAAACACGTGATTGATAATAACCTCGTGAACTATTTCAATATTTATTAAATGAAGCATCGTAAAAATAGTCTGCGTTAAATATTTTTTTCCTTGGAGTAGATTTGAAGAGGATGTATTGATTGTCCACGCTTCTAGTATAAACATATTTTTTATAATCCCTTATCAGTCAAATCAGTCTGTTATGACAATGCAGTAGGGCTTCGTAATTCACGCCACGTGTTGGTGAGTGAAAAAACAACAACACCGTCCGTCGATCGCGACTGCAAATCATTTCAATTAGTAGAGCTATTGTTAACGGGTAATCACAGAGATAGTGTTAGCTAATTACTGCATTGTAATTTGTAAAAAATATCGCCAAACCACGGACTTAGATAATGTAATTCCGTGGCCAAACTGAACTGTGACATGACCTGGTTTGAAGTGACGTAACCCAAGCCGCCATGATGAGCCCTTCTCACTGATCGTAATTATGATCAATAAAAGCAGGGACAGTATATAGAGCACTATACGTCCCTGATAAAAGGTATCTAATTATGTCTTTCACCAGGAGATATGCACCAGCGGTTACTAAACATCGAATTATTTATTAATTGATATGTTTTTGTAAGCAAGTAAATGTTTTATGTAAAATATTGCTAAAATGATTTGATGTATGCCGATATGCGCACACGTGTGTGTCATGTGTGATCAGATAATTTAAAGAAAACAACCAACAAAATACACATTTTACGTAGTTTCTTCTTGGTTTTAAATATTATTTTACATCAATGAAAAAAAATTCATAGAAATATATTTTTAAATTTTTTTTTCCAGATTTTTTGGGTGCGCAAAATATTCGAGTAGAAGCTTTTTTCCCGATTTTCAGCCTCAAAAAGTACCTGCGCAAATTACACAGGTGCGCAAATTACATGGGTTTTTACGGTATATTTACTTTCTGTACAAGTCAGGAAAACAGTGATGAAAGCTTGAGATCTATCAATGTAAGAGCACTTACTCCATCCCTCAAACCTGTATTGCATTTATCAATTACTGCTCAATGGGCAATTTACATTTTTGACTTCTCCAGAACTGCTGAACTTAATCTTGATCCAAGTGAGCTTATCCCATTGTGTAGTGTCTGGCGTATGGTCACGTCAGGCTTCAGCTGTTTTCATTAAACAACTACATCTGTTTAACCAAGAGGTCAAGGATAATGATATTTGACCTGTAGTTTGCTTTAATGAAGGATAAACAGTTTTGTAATTGAGTAAATGATTTTGACATCCTTTCAAAGTCATTGGGGCAAAACAGATTCTAAATAACCAAGTAGCACATAAGTTCATGACATATTGGCCAGGCTCTTGCTAGGGTGAACAATTATTCAGTTTGTTAAGATGAATGATCTTGGTACACTTTGTATGTCAAAGGGATAATATGTGTTATAACCTTTGAACAACTCTGCAAGTATTGGTGATTCAAGAATTAAAAATGTTACAAATTAATAAAAATGCTACAAATCATCACTGGTTAGTATACAGTGTTATTACTTCTGCTGTTGTCAGTTTGCCAGTAATGTTCCTGATTTGTTTAGGTGCTAGTGACATTACCGCTGGCTCTCCTTAAGGATGAGACCGTCACATTCACTCCCAAGCTGTCTGACAAGAAAAGGCAGGCAATGAAAAGCCTGGGGGTGGGCCACGTGGAGAAAGTCATCCTACAGTTTAACCGCAAGTTCTGGAAGGATCATGGATCTGATGTGTTTGGTCATGTGAAGCTAGGATCATCCAGTTGTAGGATGTTAAATGTGTTCTATGATATCTCACCTTCTGACGTAAGTAACTGATAAAACACACAGAATACTCTTACCCCCAAAGTTTTTGTTCTATTGCCTTTTAAAACAATTCTGTTGTTGAAGTTGAAAGTTTTTGTTTCTTTTCAATGAAATTAATAAAAATCTGTTTCAATACCATAGAAAGCTGTGATGGTGATGGTTATGTTGATACAGTGATCAGCTGGGGGTTAGGGAGTATTGGTGCTGAGACAGTAACGGGGACCAAGCATTGTGTGGTACAGCTGGGAGTGAGGGAGTATTGGTGCTGAGACAGTAACAGGAACCAAGCATTGCGTGGTACAGCTGGGAGTGAGGGAGTATTGGTGCTGTGATAGTAACAGGAACCAAGCATTGTGGGGTACAGCTGGGAGTGAGGGAGGATTGGTGCTGAGACAGTAACAGGAACCAAGCATTGTGTGGTACAGCTGGGAGTGAGGGAGTATTGGTGCTGTGATAGTAACAGGCACCAACCATTGTGGGGTACAGCTGGGGGTGAGGGAGTATTGGTGCTGAGACAGTAACAGGCACCAAGCATTGTGTGGTACAGCTGGGAGTGAGGGAGTATTGGTACTGAGACAGTAACTGGAACCAAGTATTGTGTGGTACAGCTAGGAGTGAGGGAGTATTGGTGCTGAGACAGTAACAGGAACAAAGCATTGTGTGGCACAGCTGGGGGTGAGGGAGTATTGGTGCTGAGACAGTTACAGGAACAAAGCATTGTGTGGTACAGCTGGGAGTGAAGGAGTATTGGTACTGAGACGGTAACAGGAACAAAGCATTGTGTGGTACAGCTGGGAGTGATGGAGTATTGGTGCTGAGACAGTAACAGGAACGAAGCATTGTGTGGTACAGCTGGGAGTGAGGGAGTATTGGTACTGAGACAGTAACAGGAACGAAGCATTGCATGGTACAGCTGGGAGTGAGGGAGTATTGGTGCTGAGACAGTAACAGGAACGAAGTATTGTGGGGTACAACTGGGAGTGAGGGAGTATTGGTGCTGAGACAGTAACAGGAACAAAGCATTGTGTGGTACAGCTGGGAGTGAGGGAGTATTGGTGCTGAGACAGTAACAGAAACAAAGCATTGTGTGGTACAGCTAGGAGTGAGGGAGTATTGGTGCTGAGACAGTAACAGGAACGAAGTATTGTGGGGTACAGCTGGGGGTTAGGGAGTATTGGTGCTGAGACAGTAACAGGAACAAAGCATTGTGTGGTACAGCTGGGGGTGAGGGAGTATTGGTGCTGAGACAGTAACAGAATAGTTACTTACAGTTTATTGTCTTAATGTGTGAATTGTGTGTTTTGAAAACCAAATTTTTGTCGGACTACAATGTTATTTGTAACAGGAGAAGTGTGGCCGGTTCATCCTAAAGACCCACATCTCTGGAGACTCTGTCTGTCACCTACGGGACAAATCTGACAAAGACGTGGTTGCTATGTGTATGTCTACACTTAGGACTATGTTCCCTAAACAGGTAAGAACTTAGTATCAGTTTCCCAACCCAATTTTCATTCTTATTTCCTTCTCAAGAGTTCCTTGTTTAGGGAAACAAAAAATATAATTGTGTAAAGAAATACAAGTACACAGTGGAATCAATCTCAATTTTCAAAATTTCCTTTTTGGCAGAGAAAATATTAATATCAAAGGATGTTGTTAGATGTTTTCAGAGACAAACGTCATGCTACCAGGTTAAGCCCTGGTTCTGGCCCCTCCCCTGGACTTATTTGCAATATAACTATTAATGAGTATATTTTTCCATGGTTGCATCAACAATCATATGAGCATTACCAGCCCTGTGCGCCTCATGTCACATACACTGTGATACAAACAAAATGAATAAATGAAATGGGAATTGAAATATTTACATTATTCCTTTAAATATGACGATTTGTTATGATTGGTTAAATATCCAGGTGAGTGATACATGCCCTTTGGGCCTTTTGTATTATCCTCATGCGATAACTCTTGAACGAATGTTATGATTTTCTTGAAATAAAGTAAGATTTTTTCAAAAATCTGAAAGTCAACATGACTTCAAGTGGCTTTAGATCTCTTGGATTTCATGAAAAGTAACATCAGTAATGCATAAGCATATTATGGCTTTCATTTCTTCTTTATGGGTAAATTGTAACTGAAAAGAACGGTACCTCCAGCTCTTGGTGCCATTTTGGCCATAGCTCTTGTTCCACCTAAGATGCCACTTCAATGGTATGTTTGTCTTTCATTTACTCAACACATAGCAGATCGGACAGATGTTTATTTCAGTTTGAAATAGTCTATATACCATCTAACAGAGTATGCTGGACTTCCATGGTACATATGTCCGATGTGTCTATATACCATCTAACAGAGTATGCTGTACTTCCATGGTACGTCTGGCCGATGTGTCTATATACCATCTAACAGAGTATGCTGTACTTCCATGGTACGTCTGGCCGATGTGTCTATATACCATCTAACAGAGTATGCTGTACTTCCATGGTACGTCTGGCCGATGTGTCTATATACCATCTAACAGAGTATGCTTGACTTCCATGGTACATCTGTTCGATGTGTCTATATACCATCTAACAGAGTATGCGGGACTTCCATGGTACATCTGTTCGATGTGTCTATATACCATCTAACAGAGTATGCTTGACTTCCATGGTACATCTGTTCGATGTGTCTATATACCATCTAACAGAGTATGCGGGACTTCCATGGTACATCTGTTCGATGTGTCTATATACCATCTAACAGAGTATGCGGGACTTCCATGGTACATCTGTTCGATGTGTCTATATACCATCTAACAGAGTATGCGGGACTTCCATGGTACATCTGTTCGATGTGTCTATATACCATCTAACAGAGTATGCGGGACTTCCATGGTACATCTGTTCGATGTGTCTATATACCATCTAACAGAGTATGCTTGACTTCCATGGTACATCTGTTCGATGTGTCTATATACCATCTAACAGAGTATGCTGGACTTCCATGGTACATCTGTCCGATGTGTCTATATACCATCTAACAGAGTATGCTGTACTTCCATGGTACGTCTGGCCGATGTGTCTATATACCATCTAACAGAGTATGCTGGACTTCCATGGTACATCTGTCCGATGTCTCTTGAGTATCGTTTTATCATGGTTTCAGGTGGTGCCAGATCCTAGTAAGTTCATAGTGACACATTGGCATGCTGATCCATTTTCTAAAATGGCCTACAGTTTCATCCCGAGAGGAAGTTGTGGTGATGACTATGACCTGCTGGCACAGGAAGTCATGGATAAAGTCTTTTTCGCAGGGGAGGTAAGTCTTGTATAAAGTGTTATTACAGGGGAGGTAAGTCTTGTATAAAGAGTTATTACAGGGTAGGTAAGTCTTGTTAAAGTGTTATTACAGGGAGGTAAGTCTTGTATAAAGTGTTATTACAGGGGAGGTAAGTCTTGTATAAAGTTTTATTAGCTAAACTGGTCGGATGGACCATGGTGAGCTTATGTCAAACCGCAGCAGCTGGTGTCCGTCAACTCATCCTTTGGTGAAGGGGACTCGATTTTGTATAAACAGTGGGTATGTCCCCCCTGGGAGGAAGAGGGTCTGGGCCCAATTGGGGAAACATAGGAAATTCTTCAAAATCCTCCTTTTCCTGTAGGATTCACAGAATTTTTTCCAATTGCATATAAATATAACCCCTGACTAACCATGTAACACATGTACACTACCAGCAACATCCGGCCATTTCAACTTCAATTTTCCTAACATTTCAAGGTGAGCGATACAGGCCCTCTGGGCCTCTTGTTACCAGTTTGGTAAGTCTTGGGTAAAGTGTTTGTACAAAGGTTTGTCTCGGATAAAACTTCTCATAGGGGAAACAGTAAGGCTTTCGTATTGTATAGCAATACATAAATGAAGAATATATCGCCGTTATTCAAAAGCTTATTTTCTGTTTCTGCTAGCTAGTGTTTAAACTTTGCAAATAACCACAAATTAGAACGAATATATGTCAATAACCGTAAACAGGTTATGATGAGTGGTGGGAATCGTTGGAAATTTCATAATCAATGGTTTGTTTAACAAAAAATTGAAATTTGTTTGATGCATCTATGTATTGTGGTCATAGTTATGATTGGAAGTTTACACTTAATGTATAAACCAAACCGATGCCCTCCTTCCAGTGGTATAGATTATTTCTATAAAGTTGGTTCAGAAATTTTGCCACAAGATAACGACTTCACATATTGAGGAAATTAATTAGTATCATATGCATATTTGGTAGGATAGAAATAGAAAAACCATTGGGTACATGAGTTCTAAAACCTTGGCCAAGCCTCATCGTTTTACCCAAATTCTGTACCCTCGGATTGGACATTTCTATGATTTTTTTAGGAAAATTAGAACAAATTCACAGGGAGGTAACTCGTGTTTAAAGTGATCTACACAGGGAATTGTTTTCAACATGCATGCTGATCTAAAATGAGTTACATCCTTATGGTAGAAGCCCACTTAATTGTTGTGGCCGCATCTTACCCCATGGTTTTGTCAACAGGGATCAATAAATTGAACAAAATGCCAACTTATTCAGTATAATTCAGTAAAAATACAGTTTAGAGAAATTTCAAATTGGAGGTGCATGAATAAAAAACATAAAATGTTTAATGATCCTAAAGTTTTAAAAGTTATATAAACATTATTTAAATTTTCTGTGGAAGTGAAACGTACTTCACACATATTTATGAAAATAAACTAATTATGTTGCTAACTGTATATCTTTCAGGCCACAAACAGGAAATACCCACAGTCAGTGACGGGAGCCTTCCTCAGCGGTATAAGGGAGGCTGAGAAAATATACAACTCTCTTGGGACTGTAACACAGTGATGTTAGTTCTGAGAGCATACCTGATGCCACACAATAAATGGACTGTAAAGCTATTGACAGCACAGCGAATGCTACTGTAAAGCTATTGACAGCACAGCTGATGCTACTGTAAAGCTATCGACAGCACAGCTGATGCTACTGTAAAGCTATTGACGGTGTAACCAACTATAGTGCCACTCAGTAGTTTAAGGACAGTATAAAGACAAGGGATGACAAGGACACCCTTTGTTGCCATACTCTGCTCTATGAACAAAGCCTGGTCACAGATTTCACAGGACAACAGCCATACCTGGAACAACTCCTCATACATCAAAGGCCAAACTCCGAGGAATAGCTCCATTCAAATAGGGCATCCTTTCAGAAGACATTGTTTGGACATCATATTTTGTTGGGGGAGAAATCTCGCCCGTTATCCATTTTGCACCCTCTTTCAAAGACAATGACATCTTCTGATGGACTCGGTTGTCTACAGGGAATGGAAATTGAGATCTGGTTGTCTGATATTGAAGTCCAGTGCTGTGTGACTACTTATTGAGGGCTGACTACCCTGATACGATAGTGTACGGTACACATGTTAGCCACAGTTGGTTAACAGTCAGTATTGTATATTTGAACAGATCGAATCCTGTGGTGTTATTGCTGTAACTGGTACTCCCAGGGTTTGGACAGTTTGGCAATGTAGAAGGGCATGAACTGAAAAAGACCTTGTTGATTGTCTTTGTAACCTAATGTAACCTATGGCTATATATTGTAGTAGCTTGTTAAAGCAAACTGCCGGTTCATCTTCTGCTCTACTCAGCTATATCAAGTTTGTCACAAACAAAATCATTTCTCAGGTATAAATATCTTTTATTTAATATATAGATTTAAATCGGGGCTTTCAGTTGACCCTTGAGAGTATGTTTTTGACTCCCAAAAAAGGAGCTTTGACGATTAGGTTTTAAAGGACAGATCTCTTTGACAAATATGTTTCGACTTAATTCAGGAAAAGTTTATTTGACATCTGAAATTGCTGAATGTTGAGGGTCAACTGAAAACCCAATAACTCCATGTCATGTTTCTAGCTGACTTAGTCTGAAGGACGAGTGAGTTCATGCCGTGGTGCAGGGCCTGTTCGTCATTCATTAGCAATTTTTTTTTGTCTGTGGGAAATCTTAGACTTCAGGAAATTTCATGAGTTGTTTTATACAAGTAGGGCCTGAAGTCCTATTTGACCGGTAGCTATCTACAAGTGGGGCCTGAAGTCCTATTTGACCGGTAGCTATCTACAAGTGGGGCCTGAAGTCCTATTTGACCGGTAGCTATCTACAAGTGGGGCCTGAAGTCCTATTTGACCGGTAGCTATCTACAAGTGGGGCCTGAAGTCCTATTTGACCGGTAGCTATCTACAAGTGGGGCCTGAAGTCCTATTTGACCGGTAGCTATCTACAAGTGGGGCCTGAAGTCCTATTTGACCGGTAGCTATCTACAAGTGGGGCCTGAAGTCCTATTTGACCGGTAGCTATCTACAAGTGGGGCCTGAAGTCCTATTTGACCGGTAGCTATCTACAAGTGGGGCCTGAAGTCCTATTTGACCGGTAGCTATCTGGGAGACATACATGGGCTTTTTCTGGAGTCTCCGATTTTAACAAGGAAATCACCAAACTTTGATCTGACTATCTTACTTAAATTCCATCACCTCATTGTCACTTAAAATTTGTTTTCTAATTTTACTAATCAATTTGATATCAAGCAAACATATTGTTTAATTATGATTAGTGCTGTTATATTTGTAACTATGATTAGTGCCGTTATATTTGTTGAATAATTATGTAGGTATTGTTATATCTGTCTAATTCATTGAAAAACTGCCCCGTTGTTTTGTTAAGTTTGATTGTTATATACATGATTTAAATATATGTGTGGTGTTTTGATCCTGCGCTTTTTGAGGAAAACAAGAGATATGGGCCCATCTGTCTGTTAGTCTGAAATGTTTAAATTTTCATGCCATAACTGCCCTAAAAGTTTGTCTGATTCAATCAACAAAATTTAATTTATATGCACAGACATTTCAACAATTATGTGGCTGAGTCCATATTTACACACAACTAATAACACTTGAGGAGGCACGGTAGTCCAGTGGTAGGACGCCGGGCTCGTGACTGAAGGGTTGCAGGTTCGCCCCACGGCACGGCACTGTTGTATATTTGAGTAAGATACTTTACTTCGCTTGTTCCAGTCTACTCAGCTGTAAATGAGTACGTGGTTGGGCAGTGCTAGAATTGTTGAATGCTAGCTGTTAGCGCCGAAATGGCAGCTCCGGCTGTATGCTCCCCAGGGAGTTGAGAAATGTATTGGCTGGTTGCAAAGGCCCTATATCCACGGATAATAATTTGTGAACCGCTTTGAGACGACCCACAAACTAGAATGTGATAAAGCAGTATATAAGAACCTCCAATTATTATTATTACTATACAATCTGATTGGTAAATTGTTTTTTCGGGCAATACCAGCCCTAATAATGGGTCAATTTCAGTGAAATTTGTTTTGCCCATACATGTTGACATGTCGCAGGCTGAGTTTTGCGTGAATATTTACGCAAACATTTGCACAAACATGGCTAATTTGTTTCTTTACAATAACTACCCTAATATTTGACATATAGGGGATGCATTTTGCTATGACTTTCCCTCAGAAATGACCTTCATCTGCATTCAAGGTTATAGCGGGCAAATATATTTTTGTAACAGGAGAAAGAGAAAATATAATGGCCAGACCGGGGTTCGAACCCAGGACCCTCTGAGCTCTAGACAGACGCTCATCCAATTGAGCTACCTTGTCGCCGATGATCGACCAAGTCCAGTTCCCCTTTATTCCTCCCTCCTTTTTCTAAGTCTTCGCCCCAAAGACCCAACTATTTACGACCCACGTTCGGGTATCCCATGCTAAGCGTACTCCCAATGCTTGAAACAAGGGTTTGCAAGTTTGCCAATTTTGTAACAAGAAAAAGAGAAAATGTAACAGCCAGACAGGGGTTCGAACCCGGGACCCTCTGAATTCTCGACGAAAACTCTACCAATTGAGCTACCTTGTTGCTGACGATCGACCCAGTCCAGTTTCGCTACATTTTATAAAATTCAGGTAGAGCCATGATACCACGAGAAGGTTGGGAAGGTGGGTGTAGAACCGGGGTCCAATATAGAAACAATCTTTAAAACCCTGCCCTTCAGTACAGATAAGGGGTTTTGACAACAAGGTGAAATAAAACAATGTATGAAATACCAGGTGAGCTATGAATACCCCCCGAAGGGCCATGTGAACTTATGCCGTACTGCATCGTCCGTCGTCCGTCTGCCAACTTTTTCTTTTGAACAACTTCTTCTGAAGAACTGGAGGACCTCGGGTCATGCTATTTGGCCAGTAGGTACCTGGGATGAAGTGCTATAAAGTGTCCTAATTAAAATGACCTAGACCTGTTTTCAAAGTCACAGGGGTCAAACATGTTAAAAACTTCAAACAACAATATCCTAAGAACCTTTTGGACTAGAGTCATGATACTTAGTTATGTTGACCAGTTGTGTTAATTATTTTATTTATTACAGTAATGAGGTCAAAGGTCAACTTTACGTGCAAGTCGGGAGTCAAAGGTCAATTTGGTTTAAACGCTTTAAAGTTAATATTTCAAATTTCAAACAACAATATCTTTAGAACCGTTTAAGAGATGTTAAAATGTCTTGCATTCTAGTTACCAAATCTGGTCTTAAGTTACCTATATGTCAGTTTCATTTAACAAAAGAAACAGGTGAGCGATACAGGCCCTCTGGGCCTCTCGTTTTCATTGTTATTTACTTGTCAATTTTAGAATACATTGTGATGAACACCTTTTTCTGTTTTGCCTCCCTGGGAAGTGCTGTCAGATTAGTTATCATTGTAAGGTCATTCCCATGTAAGATGAATTTTTGCTACATGGCTTTCCATCATATGTAAACTCTATTTTATGTTACATGACTTGCTATGTAAGAATATGGTGTGCTGACTTAGACATGGTCACTGTCAGAGTGGAGTCTTGAGCGGTACCCACATTTACTCCCTAAATCATTAAATTGAATCAAGTTTTCTTCCGTTAAAAATTACATCACTAATATGTTTGATCATTGCTCTTGGTTAAATTTGAATGCTAAGTTATGAAATATATGTGATTAAAATGAGATTTACCTTTCATTAAGCTGATTGGAAGTGTATTTGATAAGCTGACTGAAAGTGTAAATTACATCTGTACATGTGCACAAGTATGTATATAAAGTTTCTAAAATATTTACCATATACAGTGGTAGAAAAGCAATTGTGTTCAGATATGTAGAAAGTTTATTATAATTCTACATATATACAGTGTTAGAAATACAATTGTGTTCAGATATGTAGAAAGTTAGTTATATTTCTACATATATACAGTGGTAGAAATACAATTGTGTTCAGATATGTAGAAAGTTTATTATAATTCTACATATATACAGTGGTAGATATACAATTGTGTTCAGGTATGTAGAAAGTTTATTATAATTCTACATATATACAGTGGTAGAAATACAATTGTGTTCAGATATGTGGAAAGTTTATTATAATTCTTCATATATACAGTGTTAGATATGCAATTGTGTTCAGGTATGTAGAAAGCTTATTATAATTCTACATATATACAGTGGTAGACATACAATTGTGTTCAGATATGTAGAAAGTTAGTTATATTTCTACATATATACAGTGGTAGACATACAATTGTGTTCAGATATGTAGAAAGTTAATGGTAACTGTACTGTACAGTTACTGATTTTAAGGATGATATATTTTTGTTAATTTCATGATGAAATTACAGTGGAGTGAAAATACCTTGTGAATACTTTGCACATTTAGGAAGGGAGATAACTGTAAGTTGAGAAGGGAGATGCTGTAAGTTGAGAAGGGAGATAACTATGTTGAGAAGGTCGAAACTGTAAGTTGAGAAGGTCGATACTGTAAGTTGAGAAGGGTGAGAAGGGAGATAACTAAGTTGAAAAGGGAGATAACTGTAAGTTGAGAGGGGAGTTTACTTGAAGTTGAGAAGGGAGATGCTGTAAGTTGAGAAGGGAGATAACTGGAAGTTGAGAAGGGAGATAACTGGAAGTTGAGAAGGGAGATAACTGGATGTTGAGAAGGGAGATGCTTTATGTTGATATATTCCTGTATTATATAACATTGAATGCGTATATTTGTGTTGTTACCGATATGATATAAACAATTTGCAAGTTGACAGTTCTTGTTTCTGTTGTTTTATCTTACCTTATGCAAAGTTGACCTATTTTGAAGAATTTCTGCTCCTCAAATTTCCAACAGTTCGCTTAATATTCTCACAGAGTATAATGAAAGTCCTTTTTTCTGAGCATTTTCTTCAGGTTGGTAAGTATGGATTATGAGAAGTTCTTTTTACACAACCAATAAAATTTGATGAAAGTCCTGTTTACGTCACCATCTCAAATTTAATATGAAAGTTCCCTTTGGTCTCTAATTTTGCATGCTGATATCAGGAAAAACAAAATGGCCAACATTCTAGATTTTGAAAATTAAAATTTGTTACACTAATTCACAGAAAGAACTGGAGGGATCGTTATCAAATTTGATGACGTTAGGCTCCCCTTGTTAAAAATACCCTTGGGCCTAATGAGAACTCATCCCACATAGACAGTACTTCTAAGTATGTAAAAATTACAAAATGCATCCTGGCAAATAACATGACATTATGAGGTTGAAAAGATTTGTTCATAATATGTGGCACCAAGTATTATATTGCTGTTTTAGACACACAACGCAAATATATCATAAAATGTTCTTTATTTACCAGATTTTTTTTATATAATACAGAATACACTTGTCATCACACTGCTCAAACGTTCCGATAGCGAGAGCTACTGTTAGAAATTAAAAACAAAAACCAGCAACTCTAAATCGGCCACTTAACAACTCGTCATTGGTTTATAATATAATATGTGCGTTTGCATGATCTTTAGGCCAATGTGACTGCTGCTGTGTCCAGTCAGGAATGGTACACATGTGCATGTATACTTCTATATATTTCTGCATACATTCACATTAATTCAATTAGCACGACATGACCACTGGGTGCGACATCCAGGAATTATGACATCAGCTTTGACAGCCCGTTGGTAAAATGAATCGAGGCATCCTTTACAAATGTTTCCACGCAGAAAAGATTAGAAACTAATTTGAGTAATTATATTATCTATAGGTCATGTTGCCTTTTATGAATTTAAGTAGATATGAAAAATACTATTAACATTTTCCTGAAAAGTGAAGGATAAAGTCATCATGTTTGTAGATTATGTAACTCATGAGGAAAAACATTCAACTCGGGCAAAAGTAGCCTTCATTGGTAACCTTTTTAAAACATTTTCTCACCCTGGTTATATACATGGTTTACATTCCAAAATAATACACACACATACACTGACAATTTCTTATTTATTTAATATGAGATTTTAAAACAGAATAATGTATATCTGGAAATGTTTTCCCTTCACAAATAGGGCATTTATCCTGACAGGGTTAGTTAGTACACAGCATACCCTGAATAGTGGTTACCCTCCATGAATAGTGCATTTATCCTGACAGGGTTAGTTAGTACACAGTATACCCTGTATAGTGGTTACCCACCATAAATAGGGCATTTATCCTGACAGGGTTAGTTAGTACCCAGCATCCCCTGTATAGTGGTTCCCCGCCATAAATAGGGCATTTATCCTGACAGGGTTAGTTGGTACACAGCATACCCTGTATGGTGGTTACCCTCCATAAATAGGGCATTTATCCTGACAGGGTTAGTTGGTACACAGCATACCCTGTATGGTGGTTACCCGCCATAAATAGGGCATTTATCTTGACAGGGTTAGTTAGGACACAGCATACCCTGTATAGTGGTTACCCTCCATAAATAGGGCATCTATCCTGACAGGGTTAGTTGGTCCACAGCATCCCCTGTATGGTGGTTACCCGCTATAAATAGGGCATTTATCTTGACAGGGTTAGTTAGTACACAGCATACCCTGTATAGTGGTTACCCTCCATAAAGAGGGCATTTATCCTGACAGGGTTAGTTGGTACACAGCATACCCTGTATGGTGGTTACCCTCCATAAATAGGGCATTTATCCTGACAGGGTTAGTTAGTACACAGCGTACCCTGTATAGTGGTTACCCTCCATAAAGAGGGCATTTATCCTGACAGGGTTAGTTAGTACACAGCATCCCCTGTATAGTGGTTACCCTCCATAAATAGGACATTTATCCTGACAGGGTTAGTTAGTACACAGCGTACCCTGTATAGTGGTTACCCTCCATAAAGAGGGCATTTATCCTGACAGGGTTAGTTAGTACACAGCATCCCCTGTATAGTGGTTACCCTCCATAAAGAGGGCATGTATCCTGACAGGGTTAGTTAGTACACAGCATTCCCTGTATAGTGGTTCCCCTCCATAAAGAGGGCATTTATCCTGACAGGGTTAGTTGGTACACAGCATTCCCTGTATGGTGGTTACCCTCCATAAATAGGGCATTTATCCTGACAGGGTTAGTGAGTACACAGCATACCCTGTATAGTGGTTACACTCCATAAATAGGGCATTTATCCTGACAGGGGTAGTTAGTACACATCATACCCTGTATAGTGGTTACCCTCCATAAATAGGGCATTTATACTGACAGGGTTAGTGAGTACACAGCATACCCTGTATAGTGGTTACCCTTCATAAATAGGGCATTTATCCTGACAGGGTTAGTGAATACACAGCATACCCTGTATAGTGGTTACCCTCAATAAATAGGGCATTTATCCTGACAGGGTTAGTGAGTACACAGCATACCCTGTATAGTGGTTACATATGAAGGCCTATTCCCTGATCACACTAGATATATAGCGGATCATGATTATTTTGCTGTCACATGGTAAAAATACATGTTATTTTAACCTTTTCACCCCTAGGTAACTTGAGTAAACTCTACCATACATTCATCTGGGTGAGTCCATGATGGTCTAGAGTGGTGAAAGGGTTAACTAGTAAAAATATATTTAGCATTTTCATGAAGAAGAATGTTAAAATATTAACAGAAATGGAACAAAAATGTACAAAAATATAAATAATGGGCATACTGTTTTCAACAACAAAGATATTTTTCTGGGAAAGAATTTTCTCTTGAATTTGTTATTTTCCCTTTGGTTCATTATAAACATATTTTACAAAGTTTAAGTAAATAACACAATAAAACATCAGAACACAAGTTCTTTTGGTGGAGGTTTGGTTGGGATTTTGCCCAGAGTAAAAGTTGTAGCATTATAAGCAGCCAGCTCCTCCTTGGTGAGCTTGTCCAGTGGTGTGTACACAGTACTTTGGGTTGTGCCCCCTGGTGTATCACTAGACGGTGCAGTCACTACATTACCGGCTGTTGTTGTACCGAACGCATTGTTAGAGGCACCGAAGGGCTGAGTATGGCCAACACTTGGCCCACTTTGAGATGAAACATTGAATAAATTGGCTGCTGGAGAAGTTTTGCCAAAAGTACTACTGAATGTGGTTCCACTGGCATTCCCACTACCAAAAGGGTTAGCAGAGGCCGTACTTGGCTGTGCTGACGAGGCTCCAAAAGGGTTGGCAGTGGCCGTACTTGGCTGTGCTGACGAGGTTCCAAAGGGGTTGGCAGTGGCCGTACTTGGCTGTGCTGATGAGGCTCCAAAGGAATTTGTATTTTGAGGCTGACCTAGGAATAAATTACTTGGTGTTCCTGTACTTTGACCAAATGACATCTGACCAGCAGTACCTGAACTTTGTCCAAAAGCTCCAGCACTAGGTGCACTGAAGGCCCCTGTTGATGTTCCCCCACCAAACACTGAAGTATTCCCACCGCCGGCACCAAATGGGTTTGTGCTGCTCCTGCCGGTGGTTCCAAAACTTCCTGATCCTGAGTTACTGAACAGCGACATGGTCGAGGAGCCTGAAAGGACAAGTATTATACCTGTTGTCAAAGATTAGATGGCAGGAAGCTTCCATGGCCAAAGACAAATCAAAATTGGGAATAACATGTTTTCATTTAAGCATTGAACTGCTTTCAGTTGGCATTCATAGGCAATATGAATCCCAAATGGACAAAGGCAAATTCAATGAAGCACATGTACACTAGTGCTTCATGTTGGATTTTCCTTCTTTCCAGTTGACATTTGCATTGTCCAAGGTTTCACGAATTGAGGTGGGGCCGACACCTACACCCTTATGGGTTTTACAGGGGGGTGGAGATCTGACACCTACACCCTTATTGGTTTTACAGGGGGGTGGAGATCCGACACCTACACCCTTATGGATTTTACAGGGGGGTGGAGATCTGACACCTGCACCCTTTTGGATTTTACAGGGGGGTGTAGATCTGACACCTGCACCCTTATGGATTTCACAGGGGGGTGGAGATCTGCCACCTGCACCCTTTTGGGTTTTACAGGGGGGAGGAGATCCAACGTCCAGTCAACAGTAGATTCATAGAAGTTGAGCATCTCCCTGTTGATTGATTCTTCAAATAGAATTCACTTGTCCGGCCATAGAAGTCTACAATCCCTGATGTCTGTCTGGGACCTCGCTAGTCCGGCCATAGAAGTCTACAATTACTGATGTCTGTCTGGGAACTCGCTAGTCTGGCCATCGAAGTCTACAATCACTGATGTCTCTCTGGGAACTCGCTAGTTAGGACATAGAAGTCTACAATCCCTGATGTCTGTCTGGGAACTCGCTAATCTGGCCATAGAAGTATACAATCGCTGATGTCTGTCTGGGACCTCGCTAGTCCGGCCATAGAAGTCTACACTCGCTGATGGCTGTCTGGGAACTCGCTAATCTGGCCATAGAAGTATACAATCGCTGATGTCTGTCTGGGACCGCGCTAGTCCGGCCATAGAAGTCTTCAATCACTGATGTCTGTCTGGTAACTCGCTAGTCTGGCCAGAGAGGTATACAATCACTGATGTCGGTCTGGGAACTCGCTAGCCTGGCCATAGAAGTATACAATCGCTGATGTCTGTCTGGGAACTCGCTAATCTGGCCATAGAAGTATACAATCGCTGATGTCTGTCTGGGAACTCGCTAATCTGGCCATAGAAGTATACAATCACGGATGTCTGTCTGGGAACTCGCTAGTTAGGACATAGAAGTCTACAATCCCTGATGTCTGTCTGGGAACTCGCTAATCTGGCCATAGAAGTCTCCAATCACTGATGTCTGTCTGTGAACTCGCTAGTCTGGCCAGAGAGGTATACAATCACTGATGACTGTCTTGGAACTCGCTAGTCTGGACATAGAAGTCTACAATCACTGCTGTCTGTCTGGGAACTCGCTAATCTGGCCATAGAAGTATACAATCAATTCATAGAAGTTCAGCATCTCCCTGTTGATTGATTCTTTAAATAGAATTCATTTGTCCGGCCATAGAAGTCTTCAATCACTGATGTCTGTCTTGGAACTCGCTAGTCTGGACATAGAAGTCTACAATCCCTGATGTCTGTCTGGGACCTCGCTAGTCCGGCCATAGAAGTCTACAATAACTGATGTCTGTCTGGGACCGCGCTAGTCCGGCCATAGAAGTCTTCAATCACTGATGTCTGTCTGGGAACTCGCTAGTCTGGCCATAGAAGGAGATCCGACACCTATAGCCTTATGGGTTTTACAGGGGGGTGGAGATCCAACGTCCAGTCAACAGTAGATTCATAGAAGTTCAGCATCTCCCTGTTGATTGATTCTTTAAATAGAATTCACTTGTCCGGCCATAGAAGTCTACAATCACTGATGTCTGTCTGGGAACTCGCTAGTCCGGCCATAGAAGTCTACAATCACTGATGTCTGTCTGGGAACTCGCTAGTCCGGCCATAGAAGTATACAATCACTGATGTCTGTCTGGGAACTCGCTAGTCTGGCCATAGAAGTATACAATCACTGATGTCTGTCTGGGAACTCGCTAGTCTGGCCATAGAAGTATACAATCACTGATGTCTGTCTGGGAACTCGCTAGTCTGGCCATAGAAGTATACAATCACTGATGTCTGTCTGGGAACTCGCTAGTCTGGCCATAGAAGTATACAATCACTGATGTCTGTCTGGGAACTCGCTAGTCTGGCCATAGAAGTATACAATCACTGATGTCTGTCTGGGAACTCGCTAGTCTGGCCATAGAAGTATACAATCACTGATGTCTGTCTGGGAACTCGCTAGTCTGGCCATAGAAGTATACAATCACTGATGTCTGTCTGGGAACTCGCTAGTCTGGCCATAGAAGTATACAATCACTGATGTCTGTCTGGGAACTCGCTAGTCTGGCCATAGAAGTATACAATCACTGATGTCTGTCTGGGAACTCGCTAGTCTGGCCATAGAAGTATACAATCACTGATGTCTGTCTGGGAACTCGCTAGTCTGGCCATAGAAGTATACAATCACTGATGTCTGTCTGGGAACTCGCTAGTCTGGCCATAGAAGTATACAATCACTGATGTCTGTCTGGGAACTCGCTAGTCTGGCCATAGAAGTATACAATCACTGATGTCTGTCTGGGAACTCGCTAGTCTGGCCATAGAAGTATACAATCACTGATGTCTGTCTGGGAACTCGCTAGTCTGGCCATAGAAGTATACAATCACTGATGTCTGTCTGGGAACTCGCTAGTCTGGCCATAGAAGTATACAATCACTGATGTCTGTCTGGGAACTCGCTAGTCTGGCCATAGAAGTATACAATCACTGATGTCTGTCTGGGAACTCGCTAGTCTGGCCATAGAAGTATACAATCACTGATGTCTGTCTGGGAACTCGCTAGTCTGGCCATAGAAGTATACAATCACTGATGTCTGTCTGGGAACTCGCTAGTCTGGCCATAGAAGTATACAATCACTGATGTCTGTCTGGGAACTCGCTAGTCTGGCCATAGAAGTATACAATCACTGATGTCTGTCTGGGAACTCGCTAGTCTGGCCATAGAAGTATACAATCACTGATGTCTGTCTGGGAACTCGCTAGTCTGGCCATAGAAGTATACAATCACTGATGTCTGTCTGGGAACTCGCTAGTCTGGCCATAGAAGTATACAATCACTGATGTCTGTCTGGGAACTCGCTAGTCTGGCCATAGAAGTATACAATCACTGATGTCTGTCTGGGAACTCGCTAGTCTGGCCATAGAAGTATACAATCACTGATGTCTGTCTGGGAACTCGCTAGTCTGGCCATAGAAGTATACAATCACTGATGTCTGTCTGGGAACTCGCTAGTCTGGCCATAGAAGTATACAATCACTGATGTCTGTCTGGGAACTCGCTAGTCTGGCCATAGAAGTATACAATCACTGATGTCTGTCTGGGAACTCGCTAGTCTGGCCATAGAAGTATACAATCACTGATGTCTGTCTGGGAACTCGCTAGTCTGGCCATAGAAGTATACAATCACTGATGTCTGTCTGGGAACTCGCTAGTCTGGCCATAGAAGTATACAATCACTGATGTCTGTCTGGGAACTCGCTAGTCTGGCCATAGAAGTATACAATCACTGATGTCTGTCTGGGAACTCGCTAGTCTGGCCATAGAAGTATACAATCACTGATGTCTGTCTGGGAACTCGCTAGTCTGGCCATAGAAGTATACAATCACTGATGTCTGTCTGGGAACTCGCTAGTCTGGCCATAGAAGTATACAATCACTGATGTCTGTCTGGGAACTCGCTAGTCTGGCCATAGAAGTATACAATCACTGATGTCTGTCTGGGAACTCGCTAGTCTGGCCATAGAAGTATACAATCACTGATGTCTGTCTGGGAACTCGCTAGTCTGGCCATAGAAGTATACAATCACTGATGTCTGTCTGGGAACTCGCTAGTCTGGCCATAGAAGTATACAATCACTGATGTCTGTCTGGGAACTCGCTAGTCTGGCCATAGAAGTATACAATCACTGATGTCTGTCTGGGAACTCGCTAGTCTGGCCATAGAAGTATACAATCACTGATGTCTGTCTGGGAACTCGCTAGTCTGGCCATAGAAGTATACAATCACTGATGTCTGTCTGGGAACTCGCTAGTCTGCCTGATATACCTGCTGGTCTACATCTGATCCCGGAGGAATTAACAGGGGTATGGTGTCGGTGTCAACAGCTAAGGTGAGGGACAGAAACTATTTACCATACATGTCCACTAACTAACATGAATACTAGTATCTCATCATTGATTGTGAATCCTTGGATAATACAAGGGCAGAAATGCTCACGAAGATTGGTAAAATACGGACGGTGGTCGAGATTTCAGAACTAATATCGTTAACAGATCGACAACACCATAAGTATATGATCCATTAATTACATCAACAAAATTATTGAAATTCTCAACTTCTTTGTAAACTGTTTCAATAAGTATCTATCAACTTAAAAACAAAATGCACCTTTCTGCAAACATTTTTGAATCATTATAAGAAAAATGGAAATAATTACCTCCTCCGTCACTTGATCTAAAAAGATAAAGTATCAAAATATATTAAATCATCTTCATGTTTTAATCAGAGTGAAGTTTGGTTAACTGTCATTCAAACGATAGATCAATATATTATCTGAATTCCAAACCTTAAAGTATGAAACTATAAACTTAATATATTTCAACAATATTGTGTAAAGTAATATATAAACATGAAATATTGCACTTATAGGATTGATAATGATTCAGATGGGAAAACAACACAGTACAAGAAAATAAACAGATTATTTATTTATTTGAGTGATATTAACGGTATTACTGTTCCTACATAAAACGGGAAAATATAGAATTATTTCTATTGAAAATGGAAACATATTGTAATGCTGGGTGTAAAATAACAAGATACAAGATACAAATACAAGATACAAGAAACTTTATTTAACGTCGCATACAGGTAAACAAGGAACATACCTTCTTGAGAGCTATTATTGCGACAAACATGTAAAATAACAATAACACATTATGTTACAAGTAAAGGGAGATAATCACATATTTTAATAAAAAGCAGTAATACTTATCACAGAAAAAATAAAGTATCATATCCCAGGTTTCTAAGTGAGTGGGAGTCTCCTACCTACAAAGGCCCATGGGATATGACCCTTTTAAAAAACAAAATATATTAAAAAACAGTGTTAATATGAAAAGCAATAAATGTGATCACAGATATTTAGTATTCAGAATAAGTTAAAAAAAGACATAGTTAATAGTGAATGAATACTTGTATATCACACAAGAATTACTTAGGACTTAGTTTTAAAACACTATGAAGTGGAATATACATACAATGCTAATATAGCAAAGAATAAAAATTGACAGAATATACACTAATATAGTGTGAAATCAAATTTGTCAAGTTTGTAAAAATTCATATTTTAGAATGTATGGAATTAAAATACGAATAAGATGCTGCAAAAATATAGAATAGGATTAATACGAAATGAAATAAGACAATAATAGTATCACACAATCCAAAATGTCAGGTGGCAGAGGTAACCAGGGCACTAGGGCAATATATTGAAGTATCACTCTTAACAGATATTGAAAAGGCAGATGGGGCCATCCCAGGAATGGACCAGCCTCCTGAATTCTTTGAAGTTTTCAACTTCAAAGAAGTCATTTGGGAGACTGTATAAACCTTAAAGCTCTTTCTTGTATCTTTTCTAACTTTCTGACAATCTTTGTGGAACAAAAGTGCCAGGCTAAATTAAAGGACAGTAGTTAAAATTTGAAACAATAAAAAAAATATAAATTACAAGTCTACCTTGTTTGGTTAAAAAACGCCAAATTCGCTTTAAAATGGACAATTGCCTTGAGGCTTTCCTACAAATTTCAGAGATATGAGCTTCAAAGTTTAAAAATGAATCAAAATTCACACCTAAAAATTTGACATCACTGTCAAGAACAATATCTGTTTCGCCAATACTAAAAGACTGTATAGCATCTACTGAACGTTCCCCTATACAAATGGCCTGGAATTTATCAGGGTTTGCTTTCATCTGGGTTAATTTATACCAGTCTATTAAATGTTGACAGTCATTTTCAGTATAATGTTTTAAAACATCTGGGTCTTTATTTGAATCAGTGACAGTGTTGTCGTCTGGATATATAATTTACAGGGTTTCACATATGAAAACATATTATTTACAAATACATTAAAAAGCAAGGGTCCTAAAACAGAACCCTGGGGTACCCCCTTCAGCACTTCCAGCCAGTCACCGCATTTGGAGCCAATTTTTACCCGCTGCTTCCTACTGCTCAGGTAGCTGGACATCAGGTTAACTGAGGCTTTGATCAGGCCATAGGCCTCCATCTTCCCGACCAACAAGTTGTGAGGAAGACAGTCAAAAGCCTTGGAGAGGTTTTTCTTTTATAGGAGCATGTTTATCAATAATGTCAGTGATAAGTTTTTCATGGGCCCAATAAATATCATCAACATCATCAAAAGCAAAAGTTGCGTGGAAAGGAATTTTACTTATATCATCACAGAAAGTTTTTTCATCAAAATGTTCAAAACACCTGAATTTCCTCTTTTCTTTCACAACTGGTTTACATTTCACTTTAAAAACAGTCCCAATCATATGATGCCAGTCACTAATACCACAGTTAAAAGCAAAAGTATTAAATAAACAAGAGGCCCATGGGCCTTAACGGTCACCCGAGTCCTACAGTATGTATTTTTGTTGTTGAGAATATGTACCAATTTGAGTAAAAAATAGTTAAGTATAACGTTAACTTAAGTTTGTCAGGACCATGAGCTGATCATTCCTAGACCAAGTTTCAGTTAGATCGGCCTATTAGAACTTGTTTTTAAGTTTGAAATGGTTATTTTCAAAATAGTGGCCATGGCAGCCAAGTTGTATTTCTGATTGACCTGAAAAATAACAAAACTTTGTCAGGACCATGAGTCGATCATTCCTACAATGTTTCAGTTCAATCGACCCAGCAGAATTTGACTTTAAGTTTGAAATTGTTTTTCAAAATGGCAGCCATGTCAGCCATATTGGATTTCTGATCGACCCGAAAAATAACAACACTTTGTCAGGACCATGAGTCGATCATTCCTACAAAGTTTCAGTTCAATCAGCCCAGCAGAACTTGACTTTAACTTTGAAATAGTTTTTCAAAATGGCGGCCATTGCGGCCGTATTGGATTTCTGATCGACCCAAAAAAAAAGCAACACTTTGTCATGACCATGAGTCGATCATTCCTACAAAGTTTCAGTTAAAAAGATGTACTGTTGCTTAAAATGACATCAACAGATGAGGGCTGCGAGTTTGTCATAAAACGTGTTGGAGATTTAATTGTGTTTTTCATATCAAAGATGTCACAAATTTTAGATAATATATTGTCTTTTACGTTCATGTCAATATACAACCAAAACAGTACAGTAGCGTGATGGTCCCGTATTCTATATTCAGTGGTTCAGTACATAAAAGCACACGCTTTCATACAGGTGTAAAAGATGTGGATTAATTAGGTTGCCTTACAAGCGTAAGCTGTAGGGAATTTCCCTTTAGCTCAGCGGTAGAGCAATGGGCTGGAGAGCCAAGGGTCGCGGGTTCGAGACCCAGCGACGGCACTATCTTTATCACAGTTTCTCGTCCTATTACACAGGCCCTAACTATAATTTTTCATATACGGGAACTGCGTTACCGGAGATATGTGTGTGTTCTGGTTGGTCGTCAGTCAGAGAGAGAGACGAAACTTCACATACATGTCAGAATACCTGTAGTTATTGACCAATCAGAGAAGAGAAGCCAGAGTACATTTTCGGTTGAGTGCACCCGATCAGAAATGCTCGATCACTATGACTGTGTAGAATACTATTTTTTTTTTTTTACTAAGCTGTGTTAAAAATGTACAATAATAAACAGTACAATAACTTGCAAAAGAAATTTGTACCGAATTTCAGAATTAGCAATCATTCAAAATTACAGAAAACAAACACTCAGAAAGTCTATTTATAACTCAGGCTCTGGGTTAAATTGCCACGTGTCAACTNAGTACAATAACTTGCAAAAGAAATTTGTACCGAATTTCAGAATTAGCAATCATTCAAAATTACAGAAAACAAACACTCAGAAAGTCTATTTATAACTCAGGCTCTGGGTTAAATTGCCACGTGTCAACTGTCTTTGACTTCACGGTGCCGTCCTGACGATATCTTGTGTATTCCCGCGTTAACGTAACCACACATCCATTCACATCCTGAACAGTTGACACCACAGGCATGGTGGGAAAAGTCGGAAGAATAGGCTCTCTGACATGTTCATCCGAATCCTCGTCACTGCTGGACGGCCGTAGCGACAATCTAGAAGATGGCCAATCCGGGGGTTTCCTGACAGACTCTTTCTCAGGAGTAACATGAGTTGGAATGTCGGTGTTTCCCTCCACATATCTCTTCTTCCAATGAGCTTTTCTCATATGGCACATCGAATGCTGCGGATTTCCATGATTCATTTTCTCGTGCCATTTCAGGTTGAGTGAAGTCGTGAAGTAATCTCCACAGCTCTTGCACTTAAAACCACCCTCAGTATTCGAATGTCCTTGTTTCGCCTTGAGAGGTAACCTGGGCCATGGTCTAGACCACACCACCCTACAATATATAAGGTTGAACGGGATGATTAGTAGGGTATACATAAAAATCTTTCAAATGGGTGGGTCTTTCCAGTTTCTTTCTATGCGACGTTCATTCAAATTGAATTTGTGTACTGTTCTTGCCGGGAGCAAATCTTCCGAATCTTGATTGTCCGATTCCACCGGCTCCTCGGGATCCAGATCGTGTGTATCATTCAAACCTGGCATGGATTCCTAGCAGCATGCAGTCCCGTCAGCAGGTTTCAACCGATTATAATGAAAGACTTAAGATTTTCCAGGAACCGGATGAGGTTTTACCATATATGTACCTTGAGAAAGTTGATCGACGGGCTACCAGAACTTCTGAACTTCTTTCTTATCTGGAACGAACACATAAAGCCAATCCCCCTTTTGAAATGAAATTTTTTTGTCAATTTTTGTCGTAATACTTCTGTAAAGCTGATGCTTACGCTTAAAAGTATTTTGCGAACTCATGAACAGAGTTCAGCTTGTCTTTAACGTCTCTAGCATATTAGTTTGGGGAAGATTTTTCTGTGGGAAGCTTGAACATAACATCCTCAGGGAAATGGACCTCACAACCTAAGTCAGATAAGGAGTACACCCGGTGCTTTCCTTAATACCAGCCCAGTACGCCATCACCACAGAGGGCAAATACTCGTACCGTGCATCTTGGTTGTGGTCATCAATGAACACACCGGGCATTTGTATCAATGTCTTGTTTAATCTCTTGACATGGCAGTCAGATTGCGGATGGAACAGTGTTGTTCTAGTCTTCTCTATTCCCAGTAGCACACAGATTTCTTGCATGACCTTGGACTCAAAGTTTCTGTCCTGGTCGGAGTGAAATTGGTAAGGAACTCCATACCAACAAACGAATTTCTGTACAATTTCCTGAGCCGCTGTTGTAGCTTTTTGATTGGGTATAGGATATGCTTCCATCCACTTTGTAAAGCAGTCGGTGACAACCAAAATATACTTGTTACCAGTTGTATTGTTGGCAGTGGACCTAGTTTATCTGCAGCTACTCGCTCCATCGGGCCTCTGCTTAAGTGAATCTGCATCGGAGCCTTTCAATTTGGAATCGGGATTCTTCTTTGTGGCACAAACCGGACAAGAAGCAATCCATTTCGCAATGTCTGATGCCAGGCCTTTCCAGAAGCATTGCTGTCTCACTTTTTGTACTGTCTTCTTATACCCCAGGTGGCCAGCTGTCTTGAAGTCATGGAGTTCCCGCAGAATCGTTTTCCTGAGTAAGAATGGGATGATGTAGAGATTGTGGTGATCGGATCCATCGCCGCTATCCTATCTGCGGAAGAGCATCCCATCTTGTATGGTTATATATATATATGTTCCCATTGCACAATGTAACTCTTGAGCTCCGGTGATCTTTGGGATATCTCTCCGAAACTTGGACGACTCCCTTCTACTACTTGCATCTTGCGATTCCTTCCTGTGCTGGTTTTGGTGTTTGCAATCTTCCCCTTTCATATACGCTTTTCCTCTGGTGTAACGGAGCATAGGACTGCAGAAGGATATAATGGAGCAAATCTTTCAGGATTCTATTATGGTATTTTTATCAATTCCTTCAAACTCTTTCCTAATTTGAATCCGTTGCTGTCTCTCGATCCGCTCAAGCGGAGTGGGTAAGGTAAACTGGCTTTTCAGTTTCTGAGGTGATACTTTTGATTCAGGAATTTCTGTACAAGTCGCTGATCCGACTTCCGGTAAGCAATGTTTATCTGCGGATTTCGACTGTTCTTGACTCTCACGATCCGGTACCTGATCTTTGATCCGTAGTTTGATCCGGCGCTTGTGTTCTGGTCGATCATCAGTCAGAGAGAGAGAGCCACTTACCGGACAGAATACCTGTAGCTATTGACCAATCAGAGAACAGGAGCCCGAGTACATTTACGGTTGAGTGCACCCGATCAGAAATGTCCGATCACTGTGTAGAATTCAAAGAAGTGCTGAAAATGTCCATTGATAAGCAGAGGGTTACAATATTCCCATTTTCCCTTCATTTTGAGAAAATAAAGCACTTCCTTGTATGGGGCAGCAGTTTGTATTTGGCTGTAAAACTAGGTAAAAAATATCACTGTGTTTAGCAATACATCTGTCAATCAACTTACCTGTTTTTCTTGTTTCTATATTCCTCAATCAACGACATCTGCCAAATAGAAAATACCAGATTTGTAAGCCACAGACAAACTTAATACTTTCTGAAAACGTGCACATCAATTGTCATTTAAGGATGGTTCAGAATTTAATTTCAAAACAATTTAGAAATTGGGGATCAGAAAGGGGCAGGCCTGCTTTCAAAATATTGGGGAAAAAATCACAAGTGCTGACTACCTATGATAATGATTATGCATACAAACTTTTAATTAAATATTGGTGTAGATTGGAAATAGAAGTACATGTATATTGTACCAAGGTACTGTAAACTAAATTTTCCTAAACAGAAAAAGGGACATAATTCAGAATAAATTGCAAGATCATACCTATGAATTGTTAGCACAAGGTTTATATCAGTCGAGAAATTAAGTAGGAATACTATAGACAAAATCCATGTCAGGATATCAGAAAAGGGCCATAACTCTCATAAAAAAGCGAAACCCAAATATTAGTCGTAGGTAAACAAGTTCAGACGTGAGTTGACTTCATCAGCAGGGTTTCATGGACAAGATTGTGTCTACAGACAGATAGACTAGTAACAGGTTCTAGTAGATATATATACACGACTTTTGTGAAGGGTATAACAATGTCATAGTAAAACCACAGATTTAAACTATCGTGTATCAAGTCTAGATTATCACCCAGATTACTACAGTGGCCTAATAATATAGGCCTGTTAAATGCCATGCACAGAATTTAACCCAACTTCAAACTTAGTCTTTGTCTAGTAAAAATATGAATGCATCGTAATGACTTCATTAGAATCTCAGGTCATATAAGAGTTTATTATTTTGCGGGAACCATGGACCATTCTAAGTATGCTGTGTTATAGTTCATCTAGCACAACCAGTGAATGTTTTTGTGTGACATTTTGATCAGACAAACACCAGTGATGCGTTGGGGACAATCTTACCACTGTCAAAGATCTTGTATAACAACACTGTATAGCGGATATATTTCGCGGGGTTTTAATTTCGCTATATTCGCGCTTTGACTAATATCCGCAAACTCTAAACACCAGCAAAATTATCAAAAAAGTCGATCACTTAATTTAACTGACCTTATCACAACATGTTGAAAATACTTACAACCCAACGCTGTTATGCAAGCTTAAATAAACTCAAATCAAATTATCACCAGACAACTGGGCAGTCCATGTAAAAACAACACTTACATATAAGTGGTCACAACATATGTGTACACAAAAGGTGATTAATTTATAATAGTTTACTTCAACAAATGTACATACACATTTGATTTTCTTTTTCGAGTGAAGTCACTGGCAGATGACGACGCTCTGGAAGAGTGTTTTCAAATAGTTTACCTGTATTTCAAGGTTTAACCCTTAAATGATCACACTCAAAGTACTTTGCACGCCGCATGGGATTCGGATGCACAGCGAAATTTAACCAAGGCGAATATGTACTGAATACGAAACCGTGAAATATTGATCCCGCGAATTTGAAGCGCTATACAGTACAGAGTGAAGAAATTAAATGCTAAGAAACAACCACAGTGCAGAATGCAAATCAGTTCTGTACAGAATCTGTTCAATTTTAATAATAAGACTTTGTATAATGCATGCTTACCAAGTTTAATGAAAACAGAACGATATTTCAGCAAACTACCTTGGAGAAGCCCTACGTGATAACGTACATCTCTACTGTTCTGTACTGTGAACTGACAGGACAGTCTCAAAGGACAGGTTCTACTGGTACTGTGAACTGACAGGATAGTCTTAGA